TACGTCGGTACTTTCGTGTTAGAGGACATCACATAATGTGCGAAAAAAAACAAAAAAACGGTAGGATTGATGCTGCATAGCCTTTTTTTTTGTGGACATCAAGAAAAAAAAAAGATAGTAGTTGTCTTCACTTCGCACTGCATGTTTTAGCACGGAAGTTCCTATTTGGTTATGATGTCTTTACTTTCTTAAAAATTGTATACAGTAATTTAAATTACCGAATTACAAAAACATCGAAATTGTATAATTGCTTTTCGTTGGGACGCCATGACGACAACGACACTCGTGTTCCCTCGTGGTTTTCGCCAGCATTTCTACGATGAATTGCCAGGATCGCGAGATGCAACAGCGTGACACTCCGTCTTCTGTGACGTCATTTTTTGCACTTCGGGACCACTTTTGATGTATGGCCAGCATAACACGCTAAACACACTAGTCGGAGACGCGCTGCAGGTGCCATAGTACAGCTCCTAAAAGTAGCTGTCACGTGCTTTGCTCCGCGACTGTGATTCCCTCACAGCAGCTCTGACTGAGGGTTTCCAAATTACGGTGAAACGGAGTATAGACAAAACAGACCGGAAACGAGCTGCCAGCATACGATAGTCAAACTCCATCAAAAAGGATTATTTTCTTCCCAAGCTGGACGACATTTACCGGGCATCTTTAAAGCTGCGAAGCTCAAAATCACGCGTACTCATAAGATTTTTTTTTTCTCGCGTGTTTGTGATTTTTATGATGTCCTGCAAGCAAGAAAAAATATATATATGGTGAAGTCACTCCGAGGGGGTACCGATAACTGCGAGCCACGAACATGAAGGATTCGCTAACATCCGTCAGGAGTGTGAACGGTAAATCGTCACGCAAACATTATTCTCACAAGCTGCAAATATTTATTTGGCTTAGCAAGTAGAATACTAGTATACTAACGACATGTGATTATTGTACACAAGATACGATTTCTCGGTTCTTCAAAACCATTTCCCTAGTCTGAACGGTCGCGCTACGGGCCGCGGCTAGCCGTGCCCTCGATAGACTACGGAGCTGCGTTGTGTCGTCTGCTACTGTACCGCCAACAGGAGAGCGATAGCTCTGTGTGCTCCACAGATGCGTGTTGCGGTATAACTCTGTACGTCTGTCCTAGAGGAAGACAAAAAGATAGGCTCTGTGACCCCCTCCTAAGCTAACAAAAACAAACAGAAGTATACTCGTTTGGACTGAAAGGTTTACAAAATAGTGACCAGGCATTGGAAAAGCATATGTCAAAGAACTTGGTTTATGAAATGGCATCATTGTTTCGAGCAAGAAATCACCTGCTCACCACTGGGACGATGAAATCGTCACTATTTATTGCGTCAGGTATATTTGCGCTCATGAAGAAAAATCTGAACACATCCTTCTCCCAAAGTCCTGTGTCGAATAATAAACACTTTTTTAAACATCTATGCACAAATAACTCATTTTTTCTACACTTGTATATACACGTTAATTAAACGACGTCAAACCGCATTTTTGATTAGATCTTGATGTCTACACCAACTACATTCATATTTTTTAGGGCTTTATTGAACGATAACTTCAACTATAGTTAATGGAACACGATGGCTCGATCTCAACAAAAACCTCAACGTGCGAAGCTTCCACAGACGGTCGCTTGCGAGTATTCTCAATGTGAGACTTCAGAAGCTTTCGCTTGCCATAGGGAGCTTGCTTTCGACTACAGCACTGCACGGGCCCGGAAAGCGCGAAGCGCGCTGCTGTGGGGAGAGGTTGACTTACAAGATGACGTGTTACGTGGTCACGTAAGATGGTGTCATTTCGTGCAGCGTGATCACGTAAGATCACGTCATTTCGTATAACGAGATCATGTAAGATGACGTGTTTGTGTCACGTGATCACGTAAGATGACGTCAGTTCGTATGAACTGACGTCACCTTACGACAACGCCAACAACATTAGTGCCGTCCGGAACCATTGACCTTAGAAACGCGCCTCTTCGCTTGAAGAGCTGATATGCGTTGATTGTTATTTGTTTCTTTTGCCTACTACATACCATTCAAAAACTCGCCTTCTGGGTGCCACCAACTTCGTCTACTGGGCTGTAAAGCGCGTTCGAGCGTGCGCAATACCTCTCTAGGCCGAAAGATTGTACACTGAGTATGCGTTCACACCTCAATGACTTAGGCATTTTTCGTCAGGATAGATGCTCCTACGAGAAGAGCGTAATGGATATGTGAATAGAATTGGAAATTTGAAATGTTCTTGTCCAATCGCATTTTTCTTTGGTTATCAACGCTTTTAGCGTCATCACAAGACGTTGAACCCATAATACACTGGTGATTAAAAAATAAGCACCGAAAAACATGCACCGATTTTCGCTCAAAAATAAACACCGGAAAAAACATACCGTAATCATTACCCATGTCACCTTTTTGGGTGATATGTGAATTTCCAGAAGAACAGAGAGTTATCACCCTCCCCTAGGAATACCCTGACTACAGAGCAGGCGACCCGTTTTTCCCCGCGTTAGATTGCGGTGACCACGAACCGTACGGAGGTCACAGGACGTCCGTGAAAAATAAAAAGGAGGAAAACAACGATCTACTCTGTGCACGCTTCATCCCCGATTTCCCCGACCCCAAGGCCGAAGGACGTTTGTGTGAAGAATAACGATAAAATAAAACTTTGCGTAAAAAAAAAGCCCGTTTTTAAAAGAAAAAAAAAAGTAGAAACAAGTAAAACGCGTTGACGGACCGCGAGGTTGTGGAACACCTCGCGGTCCGCTTGCCACAGGACGATTGTCTTCGACCCATAGCTCCAAGGTGAATTTGCCACTTGCGAAAACACGGAGACCTACCCAGCGAGAACCAGGAAGGCGAGACACGCACACTGACGCCTCGGCGTGCAGAATGAAACAGGATACGGGCGCGGAATACGGCCGCGGAAGAACACCTCGCACAGTGCCGATCCGGCCGATATCCGAACGGACGATTTCGCATTTCGTGGACAGCGAGCGCCACCGCACGGGAGAGAGAGGTACCTTAAAAACGACGAAAACAAGCACCGACACCTTGGTTCTTTATATTTGCTGTAGTTACGGAACAAATCGACTTACATGAATAATTTGAATATTATTCGATTCCGTAATAAATTTAGAAGACACTAAGCGCAATACCTCGTATGTTTGAATTTATATAATTTTGTAAATTCGCTCCGAACGCAAGAGTGTCGAATTAGCCAATTTTGACCATTTTCATGATTTTTTAAAGAATATAATTAAATTGATGATGAAACATTTGTTGCGCTTAGTGTCTCGATAATGACTCAATGTCTTTAAAGCCGAAATTTTCAAGAAGATCCGCGCAGCCTTTATTATGTGAGAATTTTTTTAATTTGGTGAAAAACCTCATGTATTCTCTATGGGGCTCTGAGGTGCGCCGCCTCTTAAGCAAGTCCGCATAAACATGGGGGAGGGGGCCGCGGTTGGAGTTGCAAGCTGATGAGTCACTTCAGATGAACCATGATTCCACCAACCTTCGTGGACCCCACCTTTGTTCACACGCCAGAGTGGACGCATTCTCAAAGTCGAAAATGTGACCCGTATTCCAACAATGGTCTACAAGTTCCGTCTTCGCTGTGTTTGTTTAGGCGAGTGCAGCGCTTCCAGCCTGTCTCCCCAATGTAGGATGTGTCACAGTCTAGACAGTTCACTTTATACACAACACCGCACTGGGACTCTGGGGGGGTGTAATCTTTAGGTTTAGAAATGAAGTCACATAGTTTATGGTGGGGTTTGAAAGCTGTGCGGATATTCAAAGGGGCGAGGGCCCTGCGAATGGACTCAAAAGCACCTCTCAAATAGGGTATTGTTGCTTGCCCTGTCCTAAGTTGTCCATTATCCTGACTTCTTTGTCCCATCTGTTTGTGCGTGTTATCAATAAAACGTTTCGGATAATTCCGCTTCATCAGCAGGTCAACAATAACAGCATCCTCAGAAGCGCGCAAGCCGCCTCGGTGGCTCCGAGGCGAGAGCGCTGGCCTACGGATCCCCATGTGGCGGAGGCTTATTGCGGAGCAGGCGCCGTGTAACCGAGCTTTCGGTTGCACGTCAAAAGATCCCCAGGTAGTCTAAATTAATCCTCAGTCCTCCGCTGGGGCGTGCCAGATGCCCGTCGTTGGTTTAGCACGTAAATCCCCCAAATTTGACTTTTTTCTCAGAAGCGCGCAATTGAGGATTAGAAGAAATGCATTCGGACCGGTGTAGTAGGTTTTTTACGACAGCCCTTTTATGTTCGACAGAATGATGCGAGTTAAAGCTTAAGAGGTTGCCTGTATCACAGCTTTGCGGTACACTGTTGTATATAAGCGACCGGTACTATTTCGGAACACATTAACATACAGAAAAGGCTTTGCACCGTTCTGTTCAACTTCATGTGTGAATTGGATTGATGATTCAATGCTGTTTAAAGCTAAATGAAAGTCACAAAAGGGACATGGCAAAGGCCACGCATGCGACAAGAGCGAAGACGGAACTCGTAGACCATTGTTGAAATACGGGACACAGTTTCGACTTTGAGAATGCGTCCACTCTGGCACGTGAACAAAGGTGGGGTCCAAGCAGGTTCGTAGAATCATGGTTCATCCGAAATGACTCATCAGCTTGTAACTCCAGCTGCGGCCCCCTCCTCAATGTGTATGCGGACTTGCTTAAATAGGACTGTTGAAGTTTCTTTCGCTCATTCCTGCTTCAAGGTTTCACCGACGATGTTTCCCACATGGGAGACGAAACGTTTGATTAAATTGTTAATCTTGTTGAGTAAAGTCGGTGCAGTTTTTTTTCATTATGATTCCCGGCTTTTGGAATATTTTTGCAGCACATTTAATGAAGAAATGGATGCCGATAAACACCTGCCAAGGTTGACTAAAAATAAACAGAAACATCCAATCAATAGTTATGATTGCACTAAGCGGTTGCTATGTGGATGTTTTTTTATGTTCGACAGCTCAGCAAAGTCTGCGGATCTGGTTATGCTTCCTGTACGAGGCAGATCACGAAGCGGTTGCTGACTGGTCAGTTGCGAGAAAATTTTTGTGGGAAGGACGTAAGAGAAAGTTGACATTCAGGAACCTTCACCTTGCTGAGTGCATCATAAGTAATCTCTGGAACAGTAGTGCAGATCGCTTCACATGGAACCAGATTTATGGAATTGTTGGTGTCATACTTCTGTTGCTTTCTTTTATCAGATGCAGTGCAGAGCTGCCATAAATGTGAAGACTTCAAGTTAGAAACCATGGCCACGGATTAACTTCGCCACGCACCTGCCTGACATCAGTCATCTTAAATGGTAAGCTGGTCTTATTAAGCTGATGTTAGCACAAAAATCAAACTTTTCTAGAACAGTAAGTATGGTGTGCAATTTCTTGAAAGCATAATTTCTACATGAGAGTATTTGAATGCTTTAAATATTAAAGCCAGTGACACCTTTTTTGGTTTAATTTGAGAGCAAATACACAGGTGTGAACAGTATTGAATAATTTTAAATAAAAAAAATTTTGTTTGGAGTGTTCCTCTAAGAGGAAAAAATTTCATTATGTAATAGTACCTTATTATGGATTAAAAAGAATGCATAGACAACGAATTTTAAGAACACTGATATTTGATGTAAATCTAACAAACGAAAGTTAGCAATACAGTACATACATCCAGAATGAATGTGCTTTAAAAACAAGGCATAAAATACTTGTGATTTATTTACATCAGTTCCAATTCTTGCATATTTGAGTCACTTCACTTTGAACTTCTCTGTTTTATTAGTTTTGTTTCAAAGAATGGTAAACCACTGCTCACATATCTTTAACGTAACATTTTTTCGTTGCTTTTCAGGAACATTCTGCACCACAGGAGAGAGAGATGTGAACTGCCTTAAGCGGGCCTTGAATGCGCTGAGCTTTTTATTATGTTTATGAGACATTTTTTTTAAAGAAAAGTATCCTGCATAGTTCAGTAAGTATACTTTAGTTTAAAAACCTCATGCTGTCAATGCAGCATTGTTCAAAAATTATACTTTATTTTAAAAGCATCAAGCACTGCTCGTCTGTCTAACAGTAACAATAAAGAGTTAATGGCGATTTGTTTGGCACTGCAACTTTTTCTACAGAACGGATGTGCGTGCCTGACAGGCTGGGCAGGAATTTAGTGCGTTACTCACGTTCAAAGTTACGCTGCAAGACTGCAGCGGCATCTTTTGCCATGCAGTCGGTGCTACAGCTCTCATGGAATTCTGGTGTCCTCGTCACTAGAGCATATGACTACTGAAGCCTTAGACTTCAGTAGTCAATTCCTCAGGGCCGTTCGTCATAGCTTATGACAATGTTTGTGTCCAGTATTTCAGTTCTCTCGCATGTGGCGAGGTCCACCTCACTAAAACGAGTCAGCATCAGTAGTGTCGCCTTCCTTGTCAGTGTCGTCTGCGTTGATCCTGTGGTAAAGCTTCTGAGCTTGATGGTGAAAAAAAAAAACTTCAATATAAAGAATGTCTGTTGCGGGCCTGATTGCTACATTATACATCTGTAATGCGCCATTTGGGTATACATTGAGAGCATGCACGGGCCATACAGCAAATCTGCCCTCTGAGCTCTTGTTTTGTAAAGAATTGGACTCTTATCCGTTTAAATTTTTCTCTAGGACAGTTTACACGCTATATGCTAGCATAAAATGAAGGCTGCTTAGGCACATCCTTGCCCTCCTGGCATAGGGCTGGTCCCTATACCAGGAAAGGTAATATTTCTGAGGTATGTACATGGTACATCCACAGGATCAGGCTGAACATCCTACAATGGTCCTGAATGTCCAGCTGCATCAACCAGATTGCGTTAGTGGTACGTTTTCTGGGGAACCATTTTGCACTGCACAGTAGATACTTTCAATGTTGGATGAATCGTAGCAGATATCCACTGGATATGTTAAATGTCCGAACAACACATCTCTCGGACGTTTAATAGACGGTTGCTGGTTGACTGGGTACCATCAAACCAATGTGCACCGGGGCACCTGTTGTCAATTACCGCTCATTGGTTTTCGCCCCCTAAACGCCATCAACCCAATGTGCACAGGGGTGCCTGTCGTCAATTGCCGCTTATTGGTTTTCGCCCCATAAATACCATCAATCCAATGTGCACAGGGGGGCCTGTTGCCAATAGCCACTCATTAGTTTTTGCCCCATAAATGCCATCAACCCAATGTGCACAGGAGCACCTGTTGCCAATTGCTGCTCATTGGTTTTTGCCCCATAAATACCCTCAATGCAATGTGCACTGGGGTACCTGTTGCCAATTGCTGCTCATTGGTTTTTGTTTCATAAATGCAATCAGCCCAATGTGAATTCCCTAAAGGATTACCAATTCAGCCCAATGTGAATTCCCTAAAGGATTACCAAATGGTGCACATAGGTTTTTGTTTCATAAATGCATATTGCTCAATGTGTCTGGACCTACAGTTGCACATTGGTTCAATGTGAATTTTGGCCTCATTTCACATCGCCCATTTCCAGCAGGGTTGGACATGAGAAGCGTAATCGTTACGTCGGTTTCACTCTCTGTCCTGAGATAGGCCACTGCCCCGTAGGCCCTGGGACTAGCGTCGGAAAACAGATGAAGTTGGACAGTCGTGACGTCGCTGTCCCTTTTCAGGCTGGTGTATCTTCGTGGAATCGACATCTCCCGAAGCGCAGAAAGTTGGGAACACCAGTCCGACCATTCCCCAGCGATGTTGTCAGGAAGATGTTCGTCCCATCTCAATGCCAGCTCCCAAAGTGTCTGAAACAATAGCTTCACTGTGACGACGACGGGGGCGATCACCCCGAGCGGATGATATATTCGGGCAGATGTCTGGAGAAGACCGCGCTTGGTGAGCTTGGTGTTGTCCACGAACCCGAGTACATTTTCCAGGTTGACAGTTAGCCGATCATCCACTCTGTTCCAGAGCAGGCCAAGGATCTTTACGACTTCTGCGTTTTGGCCTGTGGTTTCTGACCTGTCGTTCGCTTCGTTTGAGTTGAAGACACGCTGCAGGTTGTTGTCGTTTGTGTTCCACTTGCATAGTTTCATGCCCACTCCTGTCATGATGACACTGGCTTCTTCGTAAATTACACGAGCTTGAACATTTGTCTCCGCGCCCGTAAGCAAATGGTCAACATGCAGACACGTGTCGATGATCCCCGAAGTCTCGGGGTACGTTCCTTTTACACTGTCTAAATGATGTCGAATCGTGGCTGAAAGCAGAAAGGGGCTGCATGACGCCCCAAAGGGCACTCGCGTCATGCTCCATGTCTCAGGCGGGTTTGCCAATTCGTCACCCCTGGGCATATCTTTGAACCAGAAAAAGCGAAGAGCGTCTCTGTCCTCCGGGGCGAGGGAGACCTGCAGAAACGCCTTTTCTATGTCGGCGCTAAGAGCGATGGGGTGCTCACGGAAGTTCAAAAGCACTTGCAGCAGCTCTGGGTTCAAGTTGGGCCCAGCATGAAGATGATCATTAAAGGGGGACCAGCAGAAATATTCTTCCGCCTGGCGGAAAGTCCTCCTCGCCCTCTATTTTTCTTGTATTGAAGCACGGCGAGGCGAGGGGAAAGGTCCTTTTTTGCGCCGGCTTCTTCTGAGAGGATAAGCCGAGAAAATCCCCATTCTGAGCGACGGGCGATGGGTGCGGCAGCAGCGACCTCGTGAGTTAGAGGTAGCTTCAGATCCTATCGCGTAATCTGCCCCATTTTTTTGGCGCTCACCAAGCCTAGCCCCTCGGGTGTAGGTTTTACGGAGCTGCAAGGCTGCGCCCGCGCAGTCACCGAATTTCAGCTGTCGAAGGTCTTTGGTTTAGCCTGTGGCAAAATAAACGCATACTTCAGAGCTGCGATGCATTCCCGCACCCATTGAAGGAACGTTTCATAGATATTTTTGGTTGATCAAGGAGCTCGAGAGACATGCGCGAGAAGTGGTGACTAGAATATGTAAGGATGACTTACATCTTCACAAAACATTCCATCTTCAAAAAAAAAAACGGCTTATCATGCTGAAACCTGCCTCAAATTGGGATCTGTGGAAAAGAAAACGATGCACCAGGCGCGGGCATCTTCTAGAAGGTCTCTGTTTTTTTAGCAGCGAGCACAAATTATTGGAGAACTTTAGCAGACTATGTTTTTAGGCCACGCTATATTTAGCGGGAGCTCGCGCTGCCACTTCCATGCATTCTCTGAAGCGCGCGCCTGAAGTGGCAGCGGGCCTTTGAAAACGATTTACAGAAATGCCCTGTTGTGTGCCTAACTCGCGGAACATGATGGCCAGCAAAATGTATGAAATTCATATATACACATTCCCAGCAACCACCTGAGGTGAGAGGGCATCAAGGGTGGATGTCAATTTTAAAAAGGTTTAGTGGGTCGCTTTTAGCCACTTAGATAACCGTACGGTTCGTACCCCAGGACGAAATGTAAGCTAGACTCGCTCTTTACATTCTTTATTGAGTGCGGCTATGAAGCGGAAAAGACAATATTAAAACCCTTTTTGGCGAGTCTAGCGTGTCGTGTTATGGTTCAACGTTGCTTGTATCGGTACCATAGCACGGGCCGCCACTTCGAAGTATTTGTGCTGTCTCAAAGAAACTAAAGCAAAAGCAGACAATATTTTTTAACGTGACACAGAATTGTATTAAACATTGTAAAAACTTTTAGGTACCCTACGCCACGCAGTTAGCACAAACAAACTATCGCCGGTGTTTCACACTTTTTTTTTTCTTGTTAGAAGTGAATGATGTTCAGGAAACTGTTAATGCGAGTGTCCCAGCTAAGCGGTAGATTTTAGTGCGAGTCGATATATTGCTGGGGAAAATAGCAAAAAGCGCCGATGTCGTGTTTGCGCTAACAGTGTCGCGCAATGTACGCATACCGCTGCACAATCAACGCTAACGGAGTGAATCAGTAAATTTAGTGGCCCCCAAAAAAGTGGTGTTGTTTTGTTTTATTTTTATGGTTGAAAAGTTTTTATTTTTAAACAAGCAATTCGGTAAAAAGTGCTTCCGTTGGGCACCAACTTACGAGGCATCAATTTGTTCTTATACACTAAATTCTGTATGGCCCTTGCGTAAAAATGTCAATATTGTGTTCGTGCTAGCTGTGTCACGCACAGTAAGAAGACCAGTTCATTGCTCGAACATTTAAACAAGGCCTTTCTTACGCTTTCTTACGCCAAATAGACGTTTTGCGAGTACGCTCTATTACTGGTGGTTCATAAAATAATCTACGTTGTTTATTTAGAGGAAGGAAGTGGTGGTGAGGGGGGGGGGGGGG